CACCGGGGAGCACGGAGCAGGGGGGGGCTTATACGCCCGCTGCGGAGCTCCCAAAGCAGGCATCCCCCAAACCCCTGCAGCCAGCCCCAGCCCACCCCCCTTCCTATATGCACGCACATAGAGGAGGGGGCAGCCCTGCTCCTCCCCTGCAATTTATTGCCCCAGCTTCTCCTGCATGCTTCGGAGCCCTTCCCATCTTTGTACCTAACCCCTCTTCCAGCACCCCCAACTGCCTCGCATCACCGGCTCCTCATCCTCCAGCCCCCCTCCTACACCCAACTCTGCCATGCCGTGTTCTGCACCCAAAACCCTCAGCCGCCCCACCTGCTCTTACAGGGGAAGGAGACATCCCCCCACCCATAGCAGGGGAGCAACGGGCAGGGTTTCGAGCCCAGTTGCACCAAGGGCTCAAGGAGTGGTCGAACTGGGAAAGAGGCCGAGCACCTTAGGGGGGAGCTTGGGTGCTTGTACGAGCGTTGCGCTCCTGCAGAAAGCAGAAGTGGCTCAAGGCAGCCCTTGCTGGCAATGCGGTTTTGGCTCGGGGGTGGCGTCTTGGAGTTCAGCTGGAAGCAATTAGGCTACATCAACAGTGCATCAAGCAAAACTATGTTAGTGAGAATTGCAAAAAGATAAGACACAATGGTATTAAGGCACTGCGAGGAGCTTTTCCTCTTGCTGCTGTATTAGTGGAATCACCTGCTGCATGAAAACACACCGGCTCCTCCTTTCAACTCTGTGCACTGAATATGTGTTCATTTACCATTAACCTACCCCAAGAAGCCCACCAGCTCAGTCAGAGTCAGGCAGAAGCCATCTAGTTTTATTATTATTTTATTTCCATTAGTTCTAAAGGTGTAGAAGTTATGTGGATTGGTAGCCATACTACTTCGTAATATATATTTTTTTACATCTTTAAATAATTACAGCTTGTTCAGTTGGTTGGTTGTTTTCCCCCTTCCCCCTTACAAATAAGTGTTTCTGTGGGACCTTCCCAGCTGATCTGGGAAGCTTCAAATTTTATACATGAAAATAAAACAAAACAAAACAAAACACTACTCCTGACATAGTCACAGCTTCAGAGTTATAGTAAGAAATGTTGATCGGTATTAAAGCTCCCTTACAATATTCCTGAGCTCCTCCTGATTGGAGAGGGTCCAATCAGCCCATAAGATTGCAAGTGAAATACGGAACTCTTCTGATCAATTTATATAAAAAAAGAACTGAAGCGATTCAAGATATTGCACTTTTGCAAAGAGGAAAGACATTTAGAAATGGTAAATGACCTTTCTACCTCTCTGGCTCCCCATCCTGATTCTCATCTACCTATCTCACACTGGTGACCACTGGTCTGTAGCAAAGGTCTCATTCGACTATTTGCGCAGTCAAGCCTTGTGCTGAAAATCCTTAGGCATCAACATTTACATGTGTGATTAATGGTGACCTCTAAGGGAAAAACTCTCTCAAGGACATTTATATATGAGCTTAAGTGTTGTGTAGGACTGGGCCCTTCCCTCTTAGTCCTCAGGGCAGGGATGATTTTCAGTTCTGTATTTGTATAGGACCTGGCTCGGTATGGTCCTCACTAGGACCTCCAGCCACAATGCAAGGAAATAAATTATTACAGTAACAGTAGTAGCAACAGCAGTAATAATCTTGCCCCAAAGAGTCTTTAATAATTGCATCTAATTGCATGAGCAAAGCCTCAGGTTCTGAACAGCTCCCCCATCATTTGAAGGAAAGAAGTGCTCAAATGTAACCCTAAATTTTGTAAGGGAACCCTCTTGCTAGAATGAACTGAATCCACTGAAAACGGTAGCACTCTAATCCCCTCACTTTATAATATGTCCTCTGAGTATCCCCAGATCTGTCACTTCTAGTATTTCTCATCCCGTGTTGGTCATTCCAGCTCCTACCTGCAGAAGGGGCTCCATGTGACTCCTGGGTTTGCAGTCGATATTCAGCCTCCTGCAATGAGGGCTCATTACTTGGGAGTCCCCAGTCTGAGGCAATTAATTTCTTAATAGTTTTGCCTTTTGCCAGTGTCTAACATTTATCTGGGAAAATACTTCTGCCATGAGGGTGGTCAAACACTGGAATAGGAACCTGCAGAGGCTGTGGGATTTCCATCCTTGGAGATATTCAAAACTTGACTGATCAGGCTCTGAACAACCTGATCTAGTCCCTTCCAAATCACATTACTCTTTAATTCTGTGACTATGAGCTCTCTAGGACAGGACCATCTACTACAGTGTGTTTGTATAGTACCTAGCACAATGGTACTCCATCTGAGTTCTGTCTCTCACCGTCTTAATATCGGTATTAGCCAGAGCGTGGCCGAAGGTCCTGGATCAACAGTAGCTCTACAACAGTTTTGAGTGAATGAAAAGAATGGCAGAATCTGGAGTATCTGAGCTTCTGCTGTATGCAGTGGAAAAGGAGGGACAAAAGAGCTTGTTTCTATCACTCAGGAAAACCCGACTGTCCTTACAGCCCCGGAGGCCCACCTTTTCAAAGCAGATATCTGTCTTGTTATCAGGGTCCTTGTAAATGCTCCTCACTGTTTTCCAAGAACCATTTTTAAGTCTTTGAGGAAGGTGAGAACCGGTTAATAAAGCTCTGCCATGGCTGTCTAGATAACCTGAGGGGGCATGAGCCAGGCAACTGCCAGGCTTATGTCCTGTGGGGGTTTTCTCCTCTTGCATTTCAAGAAGATTCCTTTATGGCACCTCAGAGTGTGTGTTAAGGGCAGGAGAGAATTTCTGCCACGGCATTTGGCTTTGAGGAAAGTAGGAGGAGCGCAGTAATAGGGCAAGGTAGACAGAGCAGCTGGCATCATCAGCATGGAAAGAGAACACAGACGCTACATGTGTTTGGTCTGGATCTTAGCTCCTCTCCTTGAGGCTATCTTCTTCCCTCCCTCTCAGATTGCCCACAGTGGTTTCAGGTATCCCAAAATGTGGGCATTAGCCAAGTGGCATCTAGGGGCAGGTGTGCTTCTCTGTCACAGATAGGAATTCACAGCCAGATCCCTAGAGAGCTCAATTGCCAGATACTAAGGACTATAGTTGAAGCAGGAGGCTGGCTAAAAACCATCGCACCTGGAGAGAAAAGCCTTTATGTCCTCACCTCAAATTCATATTCTTCGGTGTTATTTCTCCCCAGGTGTTTGAACTTGTAACTTTTCTGAACTGAGTCTCTTTTCATTATCTTCCCTTTATTCGTACTCATACTTAAGTCTCCAAGGGCCAGATACAAGGCTCACGTAAGTCAACAGACTATCCTGGCCTCTTCTCAGTGGCCTGCCAGTAGCATCACAGGATTTCAGTATAACATTTTATTCATATTTTATAGGCTACCTCTTCCTTATCTGTAATAAGCACACTAATGAGGCTCGATCCTGCCTTAGTCTCAGCAAGACAGAGCAGAAACTCTGTGGACATCTTAGCAGTGAGGGATTGAAAAGCCTCCTAGAACTTGGATTCCACTCCTATGAGCCAGTGAAGGTCACTCCTTGTCAATGTCGGGATAAGGTTTCCTACAGGGAAGCCCACCAGAACACCCTCAAGGCGTAAACACTGTCCTGCAGTCCCATGGCAGCACTGCCATGCTCTTCTCCTCTGGGAAGCACAGAGACATTGTCACCCCTCCAAAACCCTGTGAGTCTGAGTTACTACTCAGAGCAGAGAGAACGTGGAGGGGTCCAAGCCTCCACTGTGACTCCACTCCCTATAGACCCAGCCTCTGCCAGACCAGTTGAATGCTTCTCCTTAAAGAAGCATCTCTACCATCAGGGGAAAAAGGGAGAGCTCAAACAAAGATAATACAGTGTCATTCTCTTGCTTCAGTCGTGTGTGTGGCTTTCCTCCTCCCCAAGCCATGTACCTTGGTATTTGGTTGGGAACATGCTTTCTGGAAATGTTCAATAGCAAGAGACAGAGCACCTTATATACGTCAACACATTTCAGGGGGACGCACAATCCCTCCTCTAGATTTTCACTTCGTGGTTCCATACTCAAGTTCTGGGTGCAAGGAGGAAAGAGAAGAGCTGAGAAAGAGGAAGCATAAGAGAGTCTGGGAGTGGACAGAAACATGAGTGGAGAATGCTGCAGGATAATAAGTCTCCCAAAAATTCTCTGCCTAGACAGGCAGGTCTGGGCCTCCTTGGAGAGGTTAATGAAAATGTCCTGGCAAGCATCCAGAGAAGCACTGAGAAAGATTGCACAGGGGACTGTGGCATCTGCACTGCTAAGGTTTGTTGAGCACATGCTAGACAAATAGCAGCCAGGAAGAGCTTAGGTAGAATTGACCCTTTTGGGACAAGAGAATAAGCCAGTGACCTCTCAGCATCCCTTCCAACTCAATTTTCTAGGATCCCCTGGTTGCTGAGAGCCTTATGAGCAAGAATGAACACTGGTTTCTTGCTTAATACTCATGCATAAATGGAGTTATGCTCCTCTTGTAGGCAAGCAAGTCTATGCACCTGCTTCATAAAGAAAATGGCCCTTGCTTGCCTCCATTAGAGAGCTGAAGATCCCAGAGATGAAGAATCCCTTTGTTTGTTGTGGAGAGTGAAATCCTTAAGGGTTAGACATGGGGGATGGTCATGGCCCAGCTGCTGGGGGCAAAGTGGGCACTCATAGTACACCTAAAAATAAATGGCAATCACATTTCATCAATGGCATCAAAAACAACAGAAAAGAATGCAAAATAATTAAATTAACTGTCTCTAAAGCAACAGCACAGCAGCATTAGAAGAGCAACTTTGACTTGCTGTGCTCTAGAATAATCTCCAAGCCTGGCTTGTAGCCATCCCTAAGGGAAGAGCCAAACAATTTCCTTCAGGATTTGATAACCAATGTGGGTCTTTTCTACCTTCTTCCAGGAGGTTTCCCCTTCCAAAATCCCCTTCTGATTCCAGACACACCTTCTACAGGCTCAGCCAGTAACCTTTTGGAAATACAATCCAATGATTTGGTAATGATAAATAGAAAAGGAATTATTATTAAATATGGGTATTCGTTATGGTTTTCAAACCATTTAGGAAAATGAAGACACACTCTAGATGTGTGAGCTGAGAGTTTTTTGAGGGGTTTCTCTTTCTTCTTTGCCCTAGATTGTCTTATCAAATCTAGTAAATCCGCCACAGCAAGTCTAGTGAAATCTGTGCAAGAAACTGCACTGGCTCCATTTGGTGGAAGATCACTGAGTTTGGGTAATGAGAAGATGATGATGTTTTCTTCTAGTCAGGAAACTAATGGATGGTGAAAGAAGAGAAAGGTGTCTCCGTGCCACCATCATCTGAATCGTCAATGCCAGATGTTTATTAAACAAAACTCAACAACTGTACATCTTTGCTTCTGACTATTTCTTAGGAGGTGGTGACAGTCAAATGAGACAACTGTTTAAAGGGGAAAAAATGTTTCAGTTCCATTAGTTACTCTGAGATTTGAGTCTTCTCTGTTTTGTAAGAGCTCTCCTACACCTCCGAGAAGTCCTCTTTACCTCTTTCCTGGAACATCTCACAAGGGGAGGGAAGTCAGGAGAGCAGGAGGGGGCAGGAAACAACATTGACTTGATTATTACGTGTCATCTTCTTTGTCTCTCAAGCAGATCAGCCCAAAGTCCGTGGGTGGAAGACCAGCTTATGCAGTTATGATGTCCCCATGGTTTTCAGCTAAGACCAGGCTGTTCCAGGAGTCCTGTTTGGAGCCGGTCTGTGGAGACTGGCTGATGGCTGACTGGTAAGCCTGCGGGGAAAGCTTCAGGGCTGAAATCGCAGGATGAATAGAAGATCCATGTCCAGACATAGCAGAGACCGAGAATGCCTGCAGAAAAAGGAAGATCCTGTAAACAAAACTTTGAAACACAGAGGACTCTGCAATTCCTGTTGTGAGGCTAATGCTTTTCTAATAACAAGAGAGCTGTGGACATGGCTGAGGATTTGCTACAAAGCTCCAAATTACAGTTTAGGTGTGATAATTCGGACAGACTCTTTCCTCCTTCTACATCCTGCTCTTTCCTATTACTGCATATGGGGAATATTGTTCTTTCCTAATGACAGAAATGATCATCTTACCTCCCAAAGCTTGAGATATCATTGGCCTTGGGCTCTCCTAGCATACAAATGGCTTCCTGTGGATTGCAGGACACATAACAGTGCTGCAAAAGCCTGCAGATGCAAGATCAGTCCAGCACAACACTCAAGCACATATTTTCTCGTCGTGTGGCATCTTATTTAAACGCTAGAATTCTCTGTTGAGTTCAAGAGGAGACAAACTATCATATACCGCTGCCTCCTAATCTTGCTTTATTATGGAGATCCTTAACCGAGGCACAATTATTAAACCTGCAGACATTCACACAGATCAGCTTCCACATTTCTTTAGCAGAAATTGCAGCTTGCTTGGATGCAGTGCTGGTCCCAAGACATCTAGTGGTGGAGATGATATAGAGAACATGACTTCACCCTGCAGCTCTCTTCTGTTTTGCTGGCTTGCTTTACCTTTGCAGTGTGACTTAGCTCAGTTACATTTGGGCTATGTGGGTTTATTCTCCTCACGCTGCACTTCACATACAACTCAACACATGCCTAGCCAGTGCAGTGAAAGCAGAGTAATGTTGCCTTGCTCAGGAAGTCATACAAAGGGAACCAGCATTTTCTTGTTACAGTGCCTATATAGCTGCCCAGCTAGAAAGACTTCCATGTTTTCAACAGGGTGGCCGCCTCTTGTCACTTATTTGTAACTGCCGCACATTATTAAAAATCCATATTGTGCTTGTAACACATGGTGACAAAAATATGTATTTTCGCTCCATCTCACAGGATAGATTTCCTGCTGTGAACTCCTAGATCCCAGGTTGAAAAGTGGCAGCTTTTCCCCACGTAGAAGGTTTTCAGAATGTTCTCCTCCCCACGTCTACCATAGTACTGTTCCCGTCTTTGTCACATCTCCAGCATCTCCCCTCTGTACCTGAGAAATTGGGCTGGGGTGCCCATAATGAGATGAGAGCCCCGGTTCCGTTTTTATGGGGCGCATTTCCTCAGTGGTCGTGGCACTGCTGCTGCTACTGGTGGAGCTGGTGGTTGGGGTAAGACTCTCGCTGCTGGATGGGCCTGTGAGAAAGCAGTTGGTAAACAAGGCTCTTCCCAAAGAGCTTTCAGTACAAAACCACCCAAAGTTAGTGTAGGTAAAAAAAATCAATGGGCAGGGCTTTCTTACTGCTGGTAGGCATTCAAAGACATTCACCATTTTTGAAGAACCAGTCCATTTTGTGGTAGGGTGTGTGATTTATAGGGCACAAGTCCAAATTTCATTTTAAATGGCCACACACGCAAGTGCACACATGCGCCCACATGCAGAATAAACTTTCTTGTTCAACACTTACCTGCTGGTGTCTTTGATTTGTTTAGGTTCTTTGGCTTACGCTTCCTCGTTTGAATGCCTTCTTTTCTCATTGCTAAAGGCCTTGGAACCTATGGACCCAAATACAAAAGACGTTGGTTTCCATAGGTTTAAAAAGTCATCTAGGAGTACTAGTTTTAAGGCCAGAAAGGAACAACAGCTCATCTAACTTACTTTCCTATATAATTCAAAGCAGAAAATTTCTTCCTGGCTAATGGCTATTTCCTGGAAAGGTACCAATTCGGGAAAGGTGGGAAGACCGCCCTTAGCCGTTGATCCCACTGAGCTAGTCACTCGCATAGTCCGAAGCATCGTGGGATTACCAGAAGGAATTTGTTGACTTAGTGCTTCACCTCATCTACCATGTCTTTGGGCTTGGACCTGTCCCATGAATATTCCTCCATCTACCCTGACGCACTAGAAATCCTTCAGATCATAAAGTAAATATATATATTAAAAAAAAAATCCTAGGAGTAGCAATGGGAAGCAGAACTGGGGCTTGTTACTACAGTTGCCAGGATGATGAACACCTCCATGTCTGCCATGGAGGGTGGCCCCATTGCCACTGATTGTGATGGGAGAAGACTGGAGATTTGCAAAGCTGCATCTTGAAGTCCTGTTTTGCCTTGGTGTACCTGTGTAAATGTGTACTGCACTCCAGCAGGACTCTTCTAGATATATCAGACCTGAAGCCCTCACCAAGAGGAAGAGCACTATCTGGAGATCCCTGCCAGAAAAGTGATGAGACTACAACCAAATCTTAGCTGGGATCTGACACCCTATTTGGAGGGGCCCAGCCCTGCTTTGTGCTTCTGACTCAGGTATTTCACTGAAATGCCTGAATTTAGCTGAGATGAATCTGGGCCTAATTTTTTGGATTTTAAGGCTCTGATGCAAAGGGTATCAAATTACTGTGTGAGAAATGCCCTGCATACATCACCCCTTGGCAGTATAAACATGACTTAATGCTGGGGGGAAGGATTAAGGCCCAGAGGGACAGATGGAAAATCAACTCCAGGAGAGCACAAAAAATTGTAGAGGAAAGCCAGTCACCAGCTTGGTGCTATCAATGGCCTTCCCGTAAGAGTAAGGTCAATAAAGGCTTTACCCCATGCAGCTTCATGTAGAGTCCGCAGGCATTACAGACAGGTTCTCCCTCGGCGTTTCTGCGCCAGAGCGTGGTTGTTGTTGTGTGGCAATTGGCACAAGAGAGGCCAACGCGGCGGGAAGCTGACTGTGAGAAAAGACAGAGGAAGAAAATACATCAACCCTCCTCCGCTACCAGTAGCAGCAACTCAAATCCCAAGGAGTTCTGCTGCAGGTCCATGGCCCTCTCCCAGCACCAGCCTGGCACAAGGTTGCTGTTATTCTGTCCCTCCTCTGGTATTCCCCTCCTCTTGTCTCTCTTCTCATTTCTCTGTCATTTGCTTTTCTTTCTCACCTTACTGCAGTGTGTAACATGACTGCTTTTTTTTCTCTCTTGCCTTTGAGCTTCTGCTTCAGCTGGGCCTGCCTTTCCATAGGCCCTGCCTCCAGCCTGTCAGTCCTGTGCAGATGTCTCCACTATCCTGGTGCATCTCAAATGCCTCTAGGCAGAGCTGCAGATCAGCAACAGGTCTAGTAGCAGCTTAGAGACCCACTGCACATGCAGACACTTGCATGAAGGTGTCCTACCACAGCAGGACAATAACAAGATAAATCCAAGTACTTCTTAAGACTTCAAAAGCTAGAAAACTCTTGGGTGTGGAGGAATCAACTGCTCCTTTAGCTGTACCTCACTATGTATTAGTTTCACTCATCAGCCTTTGTAAGTGGACAGAGATCTTAAAAGAGAGCTTGCAGCAAAAGCAAAGATCATTGTGCATGTCTTTCCATGCAAACACATGGAGAAGCATACGAAATTCAGAGGATGAACACCCAGTCTTTTCCCAGCCCACCTATGAACACTCCTTACTCCTCTTCACTGCAGAGTCAGGGAGTTCAAATTGCAGAGGGGGCTGCTTCATACCAACGTGGCTGCCTTGGCCCTAAAGTGAATAAGGGACCTTACTCTGGTCCTCTCTATTGGCTGTGCTATATGCAGGAGAGGAAGCCAGAGGGGTAGCAGGAAGCAGCAGAAGGCAATAACATCTCCAGCTGCCCCAGCTACTCCAAAGGGATGGTGTGTCCATGCAGCCTCACTAGGAGTGCAACATACCATGCAATCCCCACCACGAGCAGATGGGATCTCTGCTTGCAGAGCTCTCTGGCATATCTCAGGATCATAGAAGTGGGTTACTCAGTGACAGATTAATCCCATTTGTTATACTGCATATATATATTTAGGAAGACAAACTGTTGTTACTTTAACCATCCATTTACAATGTATCCCTAGACATGTCTTTCTTTACTTGGAAATTCTGCCTCAGAAGAAAGAGCAGCTATTTGGCCATTTTTTCAAGATTTCCAGATCACCAAAAGCCTAGCTAAAGGGCAAGAGCGCACATACAGATCCACATAACTCATCCGCTTGTATTTCTCAAGGGTCTTCCAAGGAGCCTTGAACCACGGCTGTGCAGATTTAAAAACATACATTGCTGCTTTCTGTAAAACACCAGCCATGGTACCTAAAGGGCAATTTCTGACTACACAGACGTACCCAGGGATAACAGGTACACCAATAAATGAAACAGGGCAAAGACGTCTGTGCCAGGGTGCAGATGTTGAGAGTGGTACATTGTTCCTGGCCAGCTATGTCATATATCCTGCAGAATTAATGCAGACTATGCAGGAATTCAGCCTCCTCTGCCGTGGACACCCAGGAGAGGTCTCCCCCGGAAAGCAGTGGGAGCATTGCTCTGCACTAGTTCTCCTCCAGAGCAGATTAGAAGTGTGCAGCTCCAGCTCCCAGACCCCTTGGAGCCAAGGGCAGCCCTAGCAGGCCAGCCTGGTCCAGTCGCAGAGTGACTGGTGGCGATGTAGTCTAGCTCAGTCCATAACCGGGAAGAGATTTTCACAAGAGGGCGCTGGGTGGCTGCGGCTGGCGGCTGGCAGCAGCACTGAGGCTAGCAGTGTCATTTTTGGCATTTGCACGGGAACGGCTGGGTTTGAGCACAGGCAGGTCTGGACTATGCGAAGAGCAGGGCAGTTTGGAGATGGAACATCATGGAAGACACGGCAAAGGGTTCAGTGGGAAAACACAGCACTGAGGGAAGGCTTGCTGGCTCCTTGCTGCCTAGGGATGGTGGCAGTCATGACCAGCCCCATGTCCCTGAGGCATGGGCAGACATTGCAGAGACCTTCCCAGAAACCCTCACCTGAAGCAGTCTGGGACTGAGCTATACCCATCCCTCAGCCAGAGCCCTGTCCCAGGTCCCCCATCCTGACCCCATAGGCGTTGGTACACCCTGAACTTCCCCACTGCCTTCTCCTACGCAGCCTGCTTCAGCTCGCCAGAGGGAGCAGGACACGGGGTCTCCAGGAAAGGTGATTGGTCACTGTGAAGTGGGAGGGATCACCCAGTGATGACCTTGGGGACAAGGACCCTGAGGGTAAGAGAAGAAAGACTGGTTGTGTGATGGAGCTGGAAATGGTTTCCATTTGACTGAATATGCCTAAAGTGGTCCTAAAGCAAAGACTGGCCTTTTGCTCAATGAATAGCATGTATGTACTGCTCGTGTCCTACATCCTACATCCCCTTCCTCCACCTGGCCCAGATGACTCAGCAGAATCAGTCTGGACAGTACAAGGTCATGAAGTGCATCAAGCACAAGGTCATCTGGCTTATTTTGGAGATGCAGGCTAAAGCCACCTGGGTTAGACAGATGGGAATGGTGAACCCCAGGAGCTGAAATACCACACAGCATCACTACTTAGCCAAGGCCTTTTCACTTTAGCCTTGCCGGCAGCCTTGCCCCACATGTGCTTTGTGATCTTCACTTACCAGCCTCCTCTGAGGTTTGAACAAGGGCCGGTTGATGCCGTTCATCTTGTGGTAGAGGCCACAAGCGTTGCAGAGGTAGTGCCCTGTGCCATCTCTCCTCCAGAGTGGGGTGGACATGGCCCCACAGTTGACACATTCTCGCCCCTCTGAATAATCATCAAAAAATTCTGCTGCCGTGACGGGAGAGAGGGGAAAATACTTGGTTAATTACATATCCATACATTTAATTTCTGGTCTGCTTCTCAATATTTGAGTCCCAGAAGTAACATCTAAAAACATCATAAGCATTCAGATTTTCACATACATGCTGTATGAAACAGCTCTTCCCTGTGAAAGGAAGAGTAGCACCCCTCCAAGATTATTGGGAACAGGAATCCCTTTTCCTGCCATATAGTGTTGGCTGAAGGATTTATGTAGCAGCAGGGATGTGCTGGGACACAGATACAAGGGAGATAGTAACAGAAACCTTCCCTTCTGCTCTGACATTATCCAACTTTCAAGACTAGGCACAGCCAGGGCAAACAGATTGAGGCAGGCAAACCACCATGTTTACAATCAAGACAAATTGCCTGCGACCACAGACAAACACAAGCTTGGACCCACAAAGCAGAACTGCCCAGAGATCAGACAGTTGCCCAAGCATCTCTTGCTGTAGCTCAAGCAAGCATGGGGAGAGAAAAATGTGCCTGTGCTTGTGCACCACACTCCCCACAGGACTGGACAGGGCCGTCCTCCTCATCTGGCCCATGCCGGCTCCCACCCCAGCCCCTCTGCAGAGGGAAAACACTGTGGAGCCAAGGTGGAGAGACATTCACACACCTTCAGCCAACTCCCTGCTCAAGAAGCAGCTTCTGATCTTCAAGAATCCACATGTGCAACCTCAGGCCTATGCCGTCAGCTGTCATGCTATCAGACATTGGCCTTGGACATTCAGGGATGTTAAAGACACTGAGTTTCCTGAAGCAAATCCCCGTCATTCCTGATGTCACGCTCCAGGGCCTGGTGCGTTCACCCATCACGCTCCCTGTTCACCCTCCACTGGGGCCCAGCTGCAGCTGTGACGTGAGGGTGAGGACAATTGCCCTGGACTGGGGCAGTCCGATCCCTCTGGCTATGACAGGTCCATATCATCTGCGAGGCAGTGCAGAGGTCAACACAACGTTTTGCGACTGCGTCATTGTTTGGAGATACCTCAGGTCAGCTCACCCTTGGAAACAAAACCCTCAAGAAGCCAAGGACTGATTTAATCAGGTGCGTTGCACCTAATATAATAGGAATATCTGATATGGGCCTTGCTGAGATGTAAATAAAGCTGCCTCCCATTGATGTGGATCTTGAAAAGGCATGTTGCAAGTGGTGATCCCACCCGAAGGATGTCACCTACTGAAGTCAGTTTGGGAATGTATTTCTTATGTTACAAACCCGTTCCTGCCTCTGTCTGGCTTCCCTCTCTACCCGAAGACAGAAACCAAGGCATGCAAACATTCTATTGTAGGCACCATAAAAGGAAGACCAGATGATAAAATAACTGGGGAGGAGAAGAAAAGGACAAATAACAACAAAGGACTCTGCAACCTAGCATGGGCTGAGAATAAACCAGGCTGCTGGGAAAGCCTGATTCCCAACATACTGTAGCACACAAGAGAATTTTAGAGGATGGCAAGAGCTCTGCACCAGGGCCTTGAGCCATTACAGACCAGAGTAACCTTAGCTCTTGCAAGGTTAGCGCTCATCTTGCTATATTTTGTGCCTGCCCATCTCCTTGACGTACAAGAATCTCAGCTTTCCCCTGGAAGCCAAGTAGTTCACCAAACAGCAAACCAACAAAATTTGTCTTCCCGCAGATCTGTGGCTCAAGGCTGTGTGGATTCTCTGACACTAGTAATGATTATGTTTAAACATCAGTCTTATTATCTCTCCTTTCCTGCACTACTGACTATTTTTGGAAAAATTATAGGAAATCAAATAACCACGAAACAAAGAGCAAAAAAAATTACTGAAGTGTGGTTGGTTCATGGAGATTCAGAGAAACAGATTCATGTGAGCCTAGTTTCCCCCAGAAAACTCTGCTAAAAATGGCAAGAGATTAGACCATGTGGCGACAGGGAAATACTAGAAAACAGGAAATGAGTGTACCTAAAGGGCTCTGGAGCCAAAAAAGGAGGAAACCAGTATCTTCTTAGCAGCTTAGAGAAATAAATCTCATTACCTTTGAGCACTTCTGATGGTTTGAGGGAGAATGGGAGTCCCTCCAGGTGATATTTGTACAGGTGGGCTCAGTGATACTGTAGCCATAATACCTCACTTTCCTTTTTAAAATCAGCATTGAATCACAGCCAAAGTCTAGATCAAATAAACTTCCTTTGAAAAGAGAAGGAATTGGAACAGCTGGTCAGGAAATAACTCATTTCCTTGAAAAATCTCGAGAAAGGAGAACATTTCACTATTTTTTAGAAGTTGTTGAGATTTTCGATTAACATTTTCCCTCAAAAAGATGAACTTTTTTCAGTGTAATGTTTATGCTATGAGAAAATCCCTTCTTCTTTGAAAATACTTCAGTAAAAGTTGTCGACGAGATCTAGGAGAATTTAAAAGAGTAGAGTTAGTCCAAAGGTAACAGTTAAAACTCCTGACCAATATAAGTTGTGTCTATGTCTAATTATAGAATATTGTTTTTCCTGGAGATTTTTCCACCAGAAGACCACACCTTGAAAGCTTTTAATCAATGAGGAAAGAAAAAAAAAAATTGTAGTAGACCATCAGAAATGGTAAAAGCTGCACTAGCTGTTGAATATGAAGGTCCCTCAAATGGCTATGATAAGAAGAAATGTCAAGTATGGAAATACTTTTCTTTTAAGATAAAAACAGAAGATGTTGAGTTGAAACCAGAAAAGTTATTAGGTTTTTGTTTTCTAATAAAAATCAAATTTGCTACTGAATATTGAATATTCTTCCCTAAGTTATGTGAGACTCAACTCCACTCTCCACGCTCTTTTTATACAGTCGGTTTGTAATTTGCCCTCAGAAATCCCAGTGCAAAGCCACCTTGAGACTTGCTCCCTTTGCCCTCCCCTTTCAGTTGTATTTGTTTCCACTATATTCTTCATTATTTTTTTTCCCAGCTGCCAAGGTATTTGGACTGGAAATTATCCCTTGATGGGCTTTCACCGATTTAACTTTCTACCAGAAGAATTAACCAAAACAACCTTTTTGCTTCCATAGCACTAACATTTGTGTGATTATTTCCTCTCAGATGAAGTCAAAGGTGATCCTTGTGCACATTAATAAATGGGAATCACTGGTGCTCAGGACTGGTGAGGAACAGACTTTGTTCCCAGGACACATTAAGGCTTCATGCAGCGGGTGGCTCTACCTAATCATAACTCTTACCAGTTGATACCGATTGGGTGCGTCACCTGTTTACACCACCCAATGCTGAGTCAGAAGATGACATTTGCAGAGCGTAATCTCATAAAAACACTAGCCATTCCTAGAGCCCTGTTAGAGCAAAGCAAGCTCCTTGACCTCGAGGGATCTCACCTGAAGGAAAAATATTCTCTCCTGCTTCAGGGTATGCTTGGTGATGGTAAATTCCTTTTAACAGGGATGCTCTCTAGAAGGACATGGCTTAGACGCTGCTTAGATAAATTGACTCAGAGAAGACAACTTAAGCTTAAAGCATGCCCTTTAGTGAATAAAAGGATCACTCATTTTGGTACTAATGGAGAAACGGAAGACAAGGGACTGTATTTATTTCTAAAAGAGGTGCTCTAATTTCAAAGCGTCGCTAAACTCAGCATTGAAGTCACCAAGTGACTTTCTGACCTAACCTTCTGGCCACACAGCTGAGACAATCCCAGATGCTCTTGAAAAGCTGGGGGTCTATAAGAGAACAAGAAAGTATCACCTTAACAGCTGCGGCTTGGCTTCACATCCCTGTCACATCTGCTCCGGCCTTATAGACTAACAGCACCCTACGTCCATCTTCTCCCCTGCCCCCCAGTTTGGCTTAAGCTGACCCACAGGACTGCAAGAGACGTAAATTCTACTTTTGCGTCTGCTGCAGATTTCTGCCAATCTTTCCCAAAGGACCTGACCTTTGACCACTTCAGTATTGAATAATCCTGCTTGGGAAAACTTGGCAGAAACAAACTGAACAACCAAAGCCTACAGGGCCAGGTTAGGAATTGGGTAAGGGTCACTTGAGCCATATGGAGCGTGTGAAGTCCAACAGGAGCACAGCCAGCGCTCAAGACCTAGGAAACCCAAACACTCAAAATAGGTGCTCACTTTTGAAGATCTGGGCCTTGGCCTGCCTCCTTCCCCCAGTGTTATAACTGAGGCTGAGGCTACCTGCCTGTGCCTGGGCGCTCATCAGAAGGTAGCAATATCTCCGAGGTCCACATTGAGCCAAGCTCATTCCCAATGTTCAGAGCCCACAGTAACCATGAGCCACCAGCCCGCTGAACTATAGCAGGCACGGAAGTCACTGAGTTTCGGGTGCACTGATGGTTTAATTTGCCCTTGTTATTAATAATAGGGATTAAAGCATGGCTGGAGACTGGAGACTGGACACTTCCCAGGAATAGCAACAAAGTGCTTTCTTGGCTTCTGTCTCAGGGCTGGAGCTCTAAATCCCAGCATTATGAGATCCCTTGACACTTATTCTTTCCCTTACCTTGCACTAGCAGCAGAGAAAGGAAACATTTATTCAGGCAGCAAATTGCCTGAACAGCTCCCTGAGGGACCCTGAACAATGGGAATGGAAGGAAAGGCTCCCCCAGTCGCACTCAGGGCAACAATTTCCGTTCCACGGCACAGGAGCCACTGCCTGATAATGGAGATTTATGCGTCCATCCAGTAACCTCCTTAATAGCCTTTCTGCTGGGAGGTGCATCAGGGGAAGATTTACTCCTTCTCCTAAAGCCAGGTATAGCCAGCACTAAGACAGACTTGAGGAAACAATAACATTTGCCAGTTAGGTTAAGCAGGAAACAGGCCCACAGTTGGAACAGCCTACTTCACCGCATGTGCTAAATGGTCTCATGCTCCTCTTTGAACACACAGCTCCCCTGAGAGACTTTGCTCGGCCCTTATCTTAGATAGTATCAGTCTTTTGATCAGTCCTTCTTTTTATGGGTTGAGTCCCTGGGTCTGACACTGACTAATGCTAATGGCTTTCAACTTAGTGCTTCACAAGACCATGCCCTTAAACCACTAAGTAGTATCTCACATGAGAACACATCATGAAGTCACGCTGAAGAGAAGATGATGGTGGAGAAGATGGTGTGGGTCCTGTCCCTGTTCTGGTCATCAGCTCACTGTGTAAAAAAAGGCCTCTTTCCCCTCACAGCTGCTCTTTATGTGGACTGCAAGGTCCCCAGGGCAGGAAATGTCACTTGTGCGTTGCACAGCAGTTTCCTAATCTTGGGTGAGGCCTTGAGCATGCTAATTTCAGAAATACTTTCCACAATGGGACATTCAGTCCCCAGGGAGCCAGGAACAACTCCCAAATGAGGCACTGGGATCTAGCAGAGAAAAAGCATTCTTGGATATGGCCCTTCATGGCTCTTAGTCATTGGGAGTGGTCCTTTACATCACTGGCCAGGTCCACAGAGATCAATTGGGAAGGATAATGCGAGGCTGAACAAGCAAATGGATCTGAGGGCCACCAGTGAGCCCACACCTACAGGCAGACTTCCAGCATTGCTACGGCATGACAGCATCTGTGGCCAAGGGCATGGCCAGCCTCAAGCCTGGCTACCTTTACCTTCCCAATCAGGAGGATCAGATACCATCTTGCAATCAGGTCAGCTGGGGATCAGAAGCAGGTTGCCCAGGGCTTGACTCTGACGGAAGACTTGGACTCCCCTCGCTGGGTCCTGCTCTTCCCACACTCTTCCCACACCTCTGCAAAGCACAACTTGCCAGCCTGACAGTACACCCTTTCCTAAGTCCAGACCTTCTGCATTTGTTTGGGCTTTCCTTTAATGACCTTAAATTTGTCGACCTTGAAGAGATCATCCTGAATGAGTGAGCCTGAGGATTTGGGACCCAAAAACATGATAACAACAGAAGCACTTCTGATAGAGCGATTGAGTTCTTCATTTTAGAGCCAGCAGCCAATTTATACGTTTCCGTTCTCAAACCACCCTCTAGAAGGGGACAAAGAGCCCTTCCTGCCCTGATCTGGGTCAGATGCAGTTGTTGATGTACGAGAAACAACAAGGTTGCCTCCCTTCTTCTGCCCTCCAGCCCCCTCCTGCCTCCACCCCCTCTCTCTATTTGCTGAACAGAAAGAAACTTCCATTAATACAGCACTGGAGTTTTGTTTACAGCTGGAGGGATATTTAATATCAACATTTCCCCCTGCAGAAGTGTCTTCTCAACCTAGTGAAGGAACTCAGCAAAGGAGAAGCTGTCCTTCAAACACAGTCAGGCACTTACAGGCTCTAAACAGAGCTTGAGAGTAGTTCTCCCTCTGGAGAAGCAGTTTCCTAAAACAATTTGTTATGATAAGAGGTGAGAGCCATGTTCCTGTGTATACATGAATCCCAAATGGACTCTCAGGGGTACTCGCAGCTGAAGCAAAGGACATTGGCTTCTCCAACATGTGGGCACCCCAAGGGCTGAGAAGGTCCCAAGACACCATCACCTCCTGCTGCAAGAGAGAGCCAAGACAGAAGGGCAGGGGAAAATGAGATTTACCATTCCCAGCTGCTCAAGGCGGTTTGTCTGGGCCTCCCAAATCCCAAAATTATCTCCAAAATCCCAAAGCAATAAAGTGACAATTGTAAACCCTTCTTACTGTTCAGGCCTTTAGTGGTCCCTTTTGTAAGCGTTTTGCTGCAGCTACCAGAGCTGAAAGTCACATCTTTTATTTCTTTTAAAAGAATTGATATTCTCCCATGAATTGCATGACTCCAGGAGCAGAAGCTTTAAGGGGAAAACCCCACCAAATATTAAAAGGTATCTGGTCAGATCATAACAGTTTTAAGTACTGGTTGTTCCAATACTGTGGCAGAGCAGGGCTAAACTGGAAAACAAAACAGACGGCAACGAAAAACACGGAGAAGCACAAAAGTAGAAAAGGTAGGGAATGATTGTATATAAAAAAGACTAAATGTATTGCTTTGGAAAGATCTACAGCCAAGAGAAAGTTGTCTGTGAGTCTTTCCTTTCTTGATGGAGACATCATCAACTTGAAGTGCATACTTGGATCAGAAAGCCCATGCCCCCGATTTCACCCATCAGCTACTGGAGCTGAAGACGTTTCTGTAAAGACAGGTTCTGCCCCTTGGCTTTGTTTCCTTTTCTTTCCCTTTTTTCTGCCCATTTTCCCCTCTGACAGAACTTGGGGAAATTCATATAGGACCCTATTATTTTAGAGGCTAATGGGACCTCGGGACATGGTTGACAAGAGGAGAGCAGGACAATGCCCATTTGAATAGTCACTGAATTGGGTGCTGGTGGGAATGCCGTTCCCCACTCTCCTGTGATCAGATGAACAGAAGACATCACCTGTATGATTTTGATCTTCAGGAAAGGGGGATAAATTCCCCACTGTTAACCAAATGCATCATTATGATAGCTTCACAGAAATGGCTTGATAATGTCCTAGAGTATTTTGGGTTTCCTCTGACACATCGGATGACATCTACAGTGCGAAAAATGGTTGTTACTCAGTTGGCTTCTCAGGTCAAACAACTTTCCCACTTCAAATGTTTAGGAAACATTTCACCCATAATCTGGCTGAGCCGCAGGCCACTTTTCAAAAGGCAAAGAAATCTGTTTTCTCCTTGCCTCGTGAAAGGCCCAGGCGAA